TTTTGTTCTAGTCTTGTTCAAAAAGTAATGTAATACATAATTTACCAAATTATATACGCGGCATGGAAAATTAAAATTGTTTCTTTTTCTCAACAGAAGAAAGAAAAAATTTAGGAAGCTTGTACAAATTCGTACAAATTTACAGCTTTAAATGACTTTAAATATGTTGTATACCTTATAAAATTAATTAATTTTCTTTTTAGTAAAATTTTTTGTTTAACATTATGCATTGCAATTTATTGCAGATACATAAGAAATATAATTAATCTACAAATTGATCTATTAATATTATTACGTTACAAAAATTTTATTTATAATAAAATTGAAGTAAAAGAGAAAAGAAAAAATATCTTTAAAGTATTGTTATACTTTTTTATAGAGTCAAATAAACAAGCAAAGTATAAATCAACTACCCTTAAGCGAGCCTTTGAGCGAGCAACCCGGTATACAAGAGCATCCCATTTAGATGCAGCATGATTGTCCTCACCTGAGATTTCGTTTGCATCGTTACTGCCTCACGCTAGATGGCACAATTGATTCCTTATTAAAGTTACGCGATTTTCAGCGATGACTCACAATCAGTAAATGAATATATGGCATACGTTTATATATTTTTTTGTATATTTTATTTTTATGATGAATTGTAAAAATGATAAATTAAGGGATCAGCTGAAACTATAAAATATCACATTGCATAGATTTACTATGTAGGATATTTAAATTGTATTTATTGATGGCGAAATAAAAAATGCTCGCATATTTCTTCTATTTTCATCACGATGCGACGAATTAATTTTTAACTGTTGCGAAACGCATTACGCAATAGGCGACGAATGATAGTGACTCAAATGACAAGTTAAACAATTTATATAACGAGGTTTCTACACGCACATTTGACAGACGCGTATCGGAATGTCGCAGACAGTTGTTTTCAAGAATCAATTAGCCTCACGATTCTTTATAAAGTATATAGTCAATTACAAATAATTTTACGATATAAATACAAATTTAAGGAATGTCATCGCACGCCCCAAAAAATTTTGACTTTTCTGGAAAGTTAAAAATTATAATTATAAATATATATATATATTATAATTGATAATAACTTTTATATTTAAACTGCACCAAAAAAATGAATCCGTTATTATTTATTTTTATTACCGAAAATATTATACTGTCGAAAATTTTAAAAAATTAATAAAGATATAACTGTTCATAAATTTTTTTTATTTAAAAATCTAAAACATATGTAAAGTGAACATAAGAATATATATAATTACAAAAAAAGTGTCTGAAAGCAGTATACATATGTGGATTAATTCATGGCACAATTATCAATATTGAAAGGATAGGGATGCAGAAGAATAAGAATGAAAGAGAGAAACTCTCAAATAGTGTAGGTTATTTAAAAACAATGTCGTTTATTTGAATCGCACAAGACATACACCGTATCTGCTATGTTTACAATTAGGGACCCCTGCGAGGTAAAGCTCGGCCAACGCTTGTCGCAAGCCTCGGCCGGAGTTTACTCGGAGATGCCTGGGTTTCTTTATTTCTCGTATTGCCTTAATGTCGATTCTCGGTTAAAAGTGCTGAACGCCAGGTTTAACCCGGTCACATACTGTCCCTAGAAACCGAGCCTCGGATTATTTACCCTGGATCAAAAGATTTCCTAAAAATCCAATTTTCCTGCTACGCTATTATCGTTTCCCTCCCTTGCGTCTCTTTCTCCCGTAATCGACTCTATGGAAAAAAAATTCTTCCGTTCGCTCTCTTTCTCTCTCTTATTATAATTATAGGAAATACTTCGTAGCTTTAAATTATATCGACTGCCTAGATACTTCGCTCGACTAATACTCCTGACGTTCGTTCTGGGATTATCTTTTAGCATTTTACGTGATTTACCCTGTAGAAACATTAGAAACCAACCGGAGGACACGACGGGACAGTCAGATGAATTTATTAATATCATTTATTAATACGCCAATTAATCGAGATAACGAGGAATTTGTGCAATATCATATTTTAGATTACACATTAAACGGCTGATGTTCCGCGAGTGATGCGCGAACCAAGCCGGAGTTGCCGGTGGCAATCTCCGTATCGGATTCGCATTACGATTTATCATGGACTTACAGCGTTTACCGTGTACCTCTCTAGCGTAAGAATATTCTTCCGTGTCGGGCTAAATTCGTTATTGCCCTCGTCGCATCCCACCGATCCGATCGCCCGCCGCGAGATTTGCATTTGACACATGTCACTCCTTTGTTTCGGTGAGGCAGGGAATTTGGTCCTATGTAGGAGAAACGTGAATTAAAAAGAAAAATAAGAAGAGAAGGAGGAAGAACTTTACGAAATCAAAGTACGCGTATTTGTGTATGGTGACGTGCCGCAGGATTTTTATTTCGTCGATTATACACACGGTGCTCTGTCAAAAATTTGTCTCTCTCTATCTATCTTTCTCTCTCCATTCATTCCACGAATTCTCGAAGGGGATTGCCGTCCCCATATCTCCATCGTTTTAGATCCAATCTCCGTTCACAATCGTTCACAACGACAAAACACGCCGTTGCATGAGAAAAGAAAAACAAATCAAACCGTTAAACTTATCGTTTTTTTTTCTTCTTATGATCGTTGAATAACTTTTCGACGACGCGGCTCCCTCTCTCTTTCTCTCTGCTTCCGAATCATCGCTACGGGCAGTGCCATTATTTACAGTATGTCGTATAAACGCGGAGCCTGGCATGTACGTATTTCAGGAATCAATCTAACAAACTTTTAACTAGATAACGAGAGATTTTTTTTTTATCTAGGGCCGTACACGTCTAACACCGAGAGAACTATCTGATATGAGTTTTTTTTTTATATCGTCTTTATGCTTTCGCATTCTCACCGAACTCACGCACACGCGCACACACTCATCCCCGGAACGAGAAGGATAACACGTACAATGAAATCACATAAAGGACACGCAATCGACATTCGTACTCCTTCGTCTCTCATACATCGCGAAGTTATTTTTCGTTTTCACCTTATTGCCTATGTATATATATATATATATATCTCTCTCTTTAGGAACAGTTCTCTTCGAAAACGTTTACGTTGACGAGGCGTCGTTGAGGAAAACAAAAGGAAGGGGGTAAAAGGAAAAATTATTTTGCTACTTAAAATGGAACGCAAAAACTTGTAGAACAATCGTCGCGTCGCCCGAAAGCCTCAGTCTTGGACGAGGACGAGAGAAAACGGAAATTCGATTCTGATTGCGCCACGGTCTGGCCACGGGTCGATTTTTGCGGAATCAATGTTAAGTTATCGGTCCCGCAAAAGCCGAGCGCGGTTCGACATCGTGATGGCAATAAATATAATCAACGAACAAAGCGCGCTGATGATACTCTCGGCAAGGTTGCGAGGCGATCATCGAAAGAGGAATTCTCCCGATAGGAATATTTTTTGCAAGATTGTCCATAGGATTTATTTATCAATAAATTTATCAGTTTAAATTATGATCATAATAGTCTTCAATAAAATGCAGTTGCTGCGATTTTTCTGATTAAATTCCGATTCCTCCTCGATGGGCGCGTCGAGCGATGCAAAATCAGCGGCTATAAACCTAAACAACTTTGGCATTTTCTTAACCGTTAAAAACATCTGCGATAATAATTTAATATCGGAATAAAATAATGAAAGCGGCGCTTGAACTCACTGCAACCGTAATGATAATAGTGACAAACGTAATAATAGAATGGTAATAATAATAATAATAGTAATAATAGTAATAATGACAATAATAATCATGTTACAAAACAATAATAATGTTAATAATAATAAAGACAATATAATAAGTGCAATAATATTAATAAAGATAATAGAGTCGTCGATAATAGGTATAATACATTGTACATAGGATTGAGCTAGAGTATATAGATATATACTAGCTTCTTCTCATATATTACTTAACCAAATATTCTCAATTATCCTATACATATTGATATATAACAGTGTTTTTTTCGAATATCGATGTTTTTAAATATGTACATACAGGGTCATCGAAGTTACTAATTCTTCTTATGCTAACGAAATCGATGCATTTTAAAAAGAAGACGCGTCCATCGCGGTTCCATCGTTATTACGAAGCGACGTCGTGTAATGTACAAAAAGATTTCATTCCAATTTGTCCTTATATAGTACACGGCGAGTTGCAGATTTTCATAATATTTATATATATATATTACGTGTTATACAATATGTATATATATATATCTATTATTAAATAAATAATCTTCAAATGCGATAATAAAGTCACGAACTACTGTTCGTTATCTTATTTATAATATTTATATTCTTTGTATTTGCATTTCTTTATATATATTTATATATATATTTATTCATTCTTTATCTGTATGTATATATATGCAGCTTTATATATTTATAGTGTCTTTTCCCGTTATTTATAAACTATATTTATAGTGATATATATAATTTAATTATAGCTGTGTGTGCTGAGACTCGCAAACTGGTAACCATTCGTTCGTTTTCTAATGAGTTAAAACGCGGAGTAGAGTTTCTTGTCGAGTACCTTCTTTCTTTCTTGCGCCCTGTTTTCGCATTATCTGGACGTCGCCTTCACGATTTGCGTCCAATCTTCACGATCGCGTGAGGATCCTCTGTTTTTCGAACTAATCGAAACTCCAGCTTCGCTAGATCTTTCCAGCTCTCGATAATTTTTTTACAACTTGTCGACTCGACCGGCCGTTTCCAGGCCGTTCGGTCGGAGATTCTCGAGATCACGCATCGACCTACCACCCCTCCTAATCCCGAGAGGTGACCTCGGACATTTCACGTCAAGAGATCCTTCTGAGGTCGCGCCGTCTCGACAAAATCGAATCGGCCTTGCGGGACCCAAGGTTGTATATCTCTTTTTTCGAGGCCCCTGAAGAGGAAGATCCCTCGTCTTCAGTATACCGGATAAGGCGGCCTGTGCGGCCACAACGGCGGGATCGGTGGTAGGCTTCCGTTCCAGGATCAAGTATCCTTACTGCTAAGTGAAGAGTCCTCATCCTTGATCACTGGATATGGAATGTCCAGCTTAGGGCCCTGCTGCACCACCACTACGCATTTCCTCATGTGCTTCTCCAGCGTGCTCGGCACCGAGAACGGCATGTCGCAGAAGCGACATTTATACGTGTCTTTGCCGTGACGGCCATGGGTCTTCATGTGCCTGGTCAGCTTCGAGCTCTGGGCGCATGCGTACGAACAGAGCTCGCACTTGTACGGCTTCTCGCCGGTGTGCGACCGCCTGTGCACCGTCAGATTCGAGCAGTTCTTGAAAACTTTGCCGCAATACTCGCAAGTGTCGTTTCGGCCGCTCCGCTCCTTCTTCAGCAGCGGACTCGGCAGACCCTGAAGCGACAAACTGGACGTCGTGGCCTTGGACACCTTACGAAACTCGTTGTTCTCTAGGTAATGCGGACTAGGCAGCCAAAGACCCCCGAAATCCGGCCCTGAAGATCTAGGAAACCCCTGGCCGGAAAAAATATTCGGCGTCGTTGAGGAATTAAAATTTGTGGGCGAAAGAGCACTCTCCTTCTCCTTGTTATTGTTAAGCGAGTTAGTGAGGTTGCACGGTGAGTCGGTTTTCAGGAAACCGCTGCGATGATTTTCTTGCAACGCTTGTCGATAAGCCTCTGAGTATTGAGCAATGTTACTCAGACCGAACTTCTCCATGAGATCGCCTACCAGGCTGGCCGGTTTTTCCACCCGACCTCCGCTCTCCTCTCCGCTCTGCCCTTGAGTAGTGCTTAGATCCTCCGGCGTGTTTTCCTCCGCGTCCTCCCGCTCGTTCTTCTGCTCGTTCTCCTCCATCTCATCCAGGTCCATGTTCTCATCGCAGCTGGACCCGTCGTCCGGCACCGTTTCAACGCTGCCTTGCGGACTGGCGGCCGAGTTCAAGTTCTCCTGATGTTCCTTCCTCATGTGTTTCCTCAGCTCGGCGAAGCTCGCCACCTCGATCTCGCACACCTCGCATCTCGACGGCGTACTCTGGACATCTTGCGTGCTTTCCTGCTGCTGGTATTGCCTTTCCTTGTCCCGATGACTGCGACGATGAACGATCAAGTTTGATTGGAAGCGAAACTTTTTGTCACAGACCTCGCACGTGTACACGGTCTCCGACGAAGAATCAGTGATGATTGGCGTAGATGCTACCGGCGGGCTGGTCTTTTCGCTGTCGGTCGAATTATTGTTGTTGTGATGACCCACTGGGCTTTGACTATAACAGGGCGGCGAGTTCTCTTTTTGATGACTGCTGTGGGTTAAATTCGCGGGATTAATTGAGGCCGGACTAGGCGGTTTCACCGGCTGTGAATGGGGTTGCGATTGTTGCTGCTGCGACTGTTGTTGCTGTTGCTGCTGTTGTTGTTGTTGCTGAACACTGCTGGCGACGGGGACTGGCGGCACTGGCGGCACCGGTGGAGGTGGGGGATTTGCTGTAGGATTACCGCTAGGTGTAGGTGGAGCCGCGCCTAAGGACGGATTAGCGAGGCTCCTTAGGCGCGCTGAGTAAAAATCCAGGTTCGCTTCGAGTGGTGGTGGGTGTGCTTGGCCGGCGAGGCCACGGCCGTGTGATAGCTCGGCTAGGTTCGCTAGGTTCCGAGCGTTGTTCAGGGAATCCAATGAGCTGCGCACCAGTGGATCCCCCAGATTTAAACCGTCCATCCCGCGAAGCGGATCGCCCAGATTTTGCAGATTCCGCGTAGCAGTCTGCAGTTCCTGAAGACCTCTATATCCCGCCAAGGGATTCAGGGTGAGAAAGTCGGGCCTGAACATAGGTGGGAAACTTCGCTCCAAGTGTTGGGGTAGCCTCAAAAAACTGTGGAGAGGATCGCCCACCAAGGACGAGGTCTGAAGCTGCTGTCGGCTACCGCTACTGCCACTCGTATTTGTGCCACCGGAAGAGTTCGCTGCCGAGGAACTTCCGGTGGACTTACCGCTTAGGTTCAAATGATTTGGTGGACTTAGATGGTGCGCGTGCGTCGGCGTAGGCGTCGGTGGACTAGGCGCCGGAGTATTCGACGACGAGTTCGTCGACGAGGAGGAGGAGCAGTAGAGGCGGGCGCCGTGCATGCTCTGTACATGCTGAAGGAGCTCCCACGCCGAGCACAGCCGTCGGGAACATTGCGAGCACTGTAGCCACCTTGGTTCTGAAACAGATATATCGACGTCGTGGTATTTAGGCTGGCAGTCCATTGTCTTTGCACAAGAAGAATTTTGTTTTAGCATTCGAGAAAATTTAAATGTAGCGAATTCTCTGCAAAATTTACGAAACAGTTCTGATAAATTCATCATTCACACGGAATTGTGAATTCAACTCTTTCACGGGCTTTCGAATATTCTTTGTATAATTAATCTCGAATAATATCGAATACAATATACATTATCTTTTAATATCTTTAAAATTACTTTCACACAGAAAAGTTAATGTTATTCATATGAAATTTTAATTCTTTCGCTTAAACGTTCTTATGTAGAGGTACGGTTATTTTAGAAATTGAAATTTATTTGTAAATAAGGAAGCGAGAGAAAGAGAAAGAGAGAGAGTTGCGTTGGCGAGGTTCTAATATAATTTGACGAGTTATAACCATGAATGAGATGATTATAAGGCTCTAGATATATCGTAATAATCTGACGACAGGATTTGAAGCTTCACGGTAATTTCGCGAGCATGTGACGGCAGCCTCGTAAAACCCGCACGTACACACATAACATGTGCGCGTACATGCCCCCGAGCTACGCTATCAATTTTTCGAACCACCCTTAATTTCGCGGAATCGGGACAGAGATCGGACCCGGCCGATTGAATTCGGAATTCAAACGGCGCGTCTGTGTCAAATTGCGGTTCGGCTCGGCGAGTTGCGGGGAGCTTAAAAATAATATCCTCGTCGAACGGGGCGGTCGACGGGGAGCGCGGGAGGAGGGAGATCGTTGCGGGCCAACGGGGGTCGGTTACCACGGCATGCGGCTGAAACTGACCCTTAACGACTTCTCGACCCTCCTTCCCTATGGCGCGCGCGAAAGCTTATGATGCGGGAGAGGGACGGGTTTTGAATTTCAATGTTTTTAATCCGGAATATCAGATTTTCGGCCATTTTTCACGCCTCGCGTAGCGCAGTAGACGCCCGTTGTGCGAGTCTGTGGGATTTTATTAATTCGACGTCGCCTCGACGGCGGCGGGAATGAGAGGAGACTGTTGAAAAAAAAGGGAGAGAAAGACCGAGGATGCACGCACCATGTGCTTAAGGGCGACCCTCACTTTGCGAGTAAAAGCACCGCGGAACATTACCCGGGCAGCATATTCTCTCGGATCACAATGTCGGACGTTACGGGGGTTGAGGAAAAAGATTTAAAACGTCTTGAGAAACACTACGAAATCGTATAAGGCATCAATTAATCATTTTTATGAAAGTATTTTCTTGCAATATATGTTGTTTTAATTCAGTTATTGTATTTTTTCCCCAAAATTTCTGTTTAAAATATTCTTCATGAATACAGGAATGAGAATAGAACAGAAAACAATTACACAAACTTTTTACAAAATAAAACAGTTTTTAAGTCGTTTTAATATTAAAGAAAACAATTTAGCTTCTCTCGAACTCTGCCACGAATTTCTTTCTCTTTTAATTCGGCAAAATCGGACTTGTCGAATTTGAGAACACGAGCGTCTCGCGCAGACGAATAAATACGCACGCGGCATTATTCAGGAAGAAACTTCTTAGACGAGATAAATACAAGCGCGTTGTAGCGGGCAGGGGTATACTTCCTCTTGTAAGAGATTAAAAAGTTCAGGACTCGCCTTCTCCTCCCTATTGTACCTCACTGTCTCGCGGTACTTGGACGACAGGAGGGAAAGTCAGCCGGAGACAAAAGGCTGCAGCAAAATAAAGTGGTCCTAATTAAATGGCCGTTCGGGATAGGGAAAGATCTTTGTTAGAAATAAAGCTTCAAGATCGTCTTAAAGCCGAACGATCGCCGAGCAGTGGCATCTTTTTTTTGTGTATTACACTTAAAAGCATTATTTCGATAGTGATTATAACAAAAAGTGTTTCTTTTTTAATATAGTAAATAATAATATCCACTAATTTAGTTAAATATATAACAATCGATTTAACACTGATATTACACGAATGATATAAATATCCTCAACGAATTTTATTTTAAAAATGTTATATGTTGAATCTCAGAATGTTATTTTCCCATGTTTTTTCGTATAATTATAATACAATTTTGCATTTTGATGTGAAATTATTCAGAACAATTCGTAGAAATGGCTTTGAGAGATCGGCCCGATGACGATGAGCAGGATGCGAAGACAATGAATCTTAAATAAAATTAGGAACAACGTCGACGCGCCGTCAACGAGTAAATGATAGTTTATCTCGCGACAATACACAATGGAACACATTTCGTTGTATGTAACAAGGTGCTAACTAGAATAACGAGCCCCGACAGTGGGCGAGAGACTTTTCTTCCTCGCCTTTGCTGACCTTTCACCAGGATTACGCTTGCAGCGTTTACGCGTCGCAGCGATGGAATGAGAGAACGCTCGTCGCAATCTCATCTCATTGACGCGCGCGATTTTTCGATTGACAGAAAGAACGTGGAGAAAGTCGGCAGAGGAACAAAGATCGTGAATGAATAGGCGAGATATCGTCAACGATTTCCTGAATTACTAAGAACTTTGCTCGAGGAGAAAAGTATATATAAAAAATATAAATTATTTCAATTGCATAATCGTATTTCTGACAACTCTACTTCAACTTTCTCAAAGAATTATTCAATTAAATTGTACTTTTATAGAAGTTTCATAATGTTTCTTTTTAATTCGGATTTCAACTTGCCTTAATTCAATTTTTCTTGAAAAATTTGTGATACAGTTACATATGATATTTATTTATTTATATACCTTTTAGATAGATAATATTTGTTATAAGTTATTAATATTAGATATTAAATATTTTAATAATGTAATTCAAAGTATTCTGAAAAAGATAAAATTTATACAAGTATCTAGACAAAATTTTCTTAAATCATGAAATTTTCGAAATTATCTTTTTCAAACTTCGAAATATTCTCAAGTCATCTTCAGTTTGATCCTTCGACAGAAGGAACGTGAAATACGAACTGGCCCGAAGTTTCGGCTTCGGGCAAAAATTAAAACATATGTGAGGGAAAGAGAAAGAAAATCATAAAAAAGAATAAGGACAAGACGGTCGAGTCATCCCTGAAACAAGCGGCAGAGCCAAGTGGTAAAGCGCGAAAATTTGGTGTATTGTTTCACGCTTCGAGCGTTCACCACCGCTGCTTTTCCCTCGCCCTCGTCCTTTCTCGACCAGCCGGCTCCTTTTTTCTCTGGAAGTCGAAAATATTGCCGACTTCCCCGGGGAAGGAAGATGCCGGCGGGAAGACGAGTGAGATAAGCAAGTGCTTGAGCATAATAAAGGTGTATCGATTCACGACCCGGCGCTTTTCATATGCAAACCTCGCGGGTGGCCATCTGTTAGGATTATTTCTTCAGATTTTCATGACTGTGTCTGACGAGAAATGGCTGGCTAGCTGGTTGCACAATTCGGGTGCGCGTTATCGCTCGCGATGACTTTTTTATCGGATAGGTGGAGAATTCAATATATGTATATTGTATCGTCTCGTAATATCGTACAGTAGATTAGTGCATAGATTTTTTTTTAAATCAACTTTATTTATGTGAAAAATAATTAAAGCAGTATGTAATATTGAAGTAAAAATTAAGACAGTTCTCAATTCGATGTTATATTGCAATATAACATCGAATATAGGTTTGGCTCTTGAAAAAAACACACGTGAATAAAATTATTGATCGACGAATACGTACATATTAAAATAGAATTTACATACAATTTCAATATTTTTTAAGACATACGACACACATCCGCGTAGAGAAGGTTAAAAATCGAAATAAGATTCGTACTCAGAAGAGACAGCAGAATCAAATGAACAATATGTCTGCACATGAGACTTGGCCTTCCGGCGGTAGTGACCGACCAATTTTCTCCAGAAATTGCCCGACAAATTGGCCTATGCGACGTTTACGGGCAAATCGTTCGGAACGCCATTGTTTAACAACGATTCGAGAGTCCCGGTCATCCTACGAATACTTCCTTTTAACCCTTTTACGGGAGACTTAACACGAACTTAAATCCCTTCCATCAATTTTTTTCAAAATAGTTTCCATAGACTTTTCAAATTTGCTTCTCTGATATCGATATATTGTATAAACATTTCAAGTGAATTAATTTTTGCAACAAATAAGATAGCGAGAAATTTTCGCGCGATAACTAATTAATCATGATAAAATATCGCGTATCAAACAAAATCGTGATAATCAAAATATTCAAAATGTATATTTTAATTTTAGTTTAACAAAAGTCGTTTAAATTAAGTCAAGCAACTATTATAAATTTTTAAGGACTCTGAAATTATAAGATCATTTTTTTTTATTAATACTCGAAAAATTCATACGCAGGTTGAAAGGAATTATTTGTGATTACACGTATAAGCGTAAGTATTATGCTTGGTTTCGTGCATACGAGCAAATTTTAATCGTGTAAAGGACATTGTGTCGCGCTCTCGGAAATCTTTTTAGACGGGACACATCTGCCGCTCAATGACGTCATGATACACGCATACATGCGCACACAAACCAACACACGTAAAGGCCTTTAATCCGGAATGGCGTGTGACAATATTAAAATATCGATTAGCTAACGTATGCGACGTATGCACTTTGTTGTCGATACAAGGGCTGCACTTAAAAGGGACAACGCACAGCGGATCATGTCCACGTGGGTAGTTTGCGGGTGATTTTAATCATTTTACTGGACCTATTAATTAAATAACCAGCTGAGATAAATATCACGCAGTAACGAGAAGTGTCCAACATGTACCACAAAGAATTAATAGTAAACAAAGGAGTTATATAATATAAAAAATAGTAGAATATACGGCAACCTTTATTAAATTAAAATGTCAAAGACATTTCAAAGAAATTCAAACGAGGCAATTTATTATTTTTATTTTTATTGTAATTTATTATTTTAGAAATGCGAATTGATTAAAATTATCTAATTCATTTCTTTTCAAAATTGCTTAAATATAATATATATGTATATTGCGCGTGTGAAACAATTGAAATAGAATTTAATTAAATATCAATCAATATACAAATATCGCATTATTAAAATATTAAAGAAATCGTATGATTACTAATAATATCCGTTCAATATCGTGTAACCGTAGCATGCAGATTTTTTCCAGTGAATTTTTATTTACGACCTGTTCAACCCACCGCAGAGTGTCGCGCGACAAAGAGCCAAAGCCGTTAAAATCGCGAACATGTCGACCGGCGCGATTCCATCCTCTCTAAACGAATATTCGAATGGTCGCGTAACATACTCCTTGTGGTCACTACAATTCCGCGATAGGATTGGTCAGACAGTGCTTCACGAGCATTTATGTCCTCCGTTACTCAGTTTGTCCGTCTAAACCGCAAATCTTGCGAATGGACCGCCTGCTCGCCATTAACCCTTTCAGAGAGGGCAGAGTCTCAATTTATTAAAAGAAATTTATTATATTCGAGTTTTTCACGACTTGACGCGCGAGGAGAATATGTCCCTAAAGCAAAATACAACACCGAGAATGTACATGAAATTGAAGTTTATGTAATATAAGTAAAATCAAATGTATTTAAAATTATGGGCATACTTGATCTGAAAGAATTGAGAGAGCGATACAAACAAAAACATGAAAATGCTTGAGAACGTTGAAAGCTTGGGAGAAATCTAGTGCTGTCTATCCCTCATCGTGAGAGATTTGCCTTTGCAGCTACTTCGATTTTCCTGTAGTGCATCACCGGGAGAAAGAGGAAAACATGGATAACGGACTCGTTTTACGGCACAAGGACGTAAGGGAAAAAAAAAATTAATCAAAAAGCCACTCGACCTGGTAATTTAAACGCGTCGCAGCGTACTGAAGTCGTGTATATTGAACTTCTGAGCTTTGTAAGCTTTGATGACGTTCTTTCCTCTCTCTCTTTCACTCTCGCGAGCTTTCTTTTACACGGGGCGCGCGAGGTAAGTGCAAAGGAAGCGAAGAACGCAGCCACCTCGTCATTGTCAAGAAAGAAAGAAAGAAAGAAAGTAAAATATGAACTGGAGTAGTCGAAATGGAAGTGAATTTTTCAAAGAATCCGTACTGACGATACATGTTAATTTCTTTATTAACGCAACACTCACGTATCGTTCTTTTCACGAGCCCATCGACAAAAGAAAATAATATTCGTAAAATGCACGCGATTAAATTTTACATTACATGTATATAAAATATTTAAATTATCAAAATAACTAACTAAAAAAATGAAATTGCGATAAAGCACGAAATAAGATATAAACAGGCTGGGTCGGACGATACGCGTGATATATAGCCGAAAAAGTTTCTGACGCCGGTTCTTAGGCGTATCGCTCGCACGCCGTTCTTGTCGACTTCCTTCCGCGAGAACGGAGGAAACGGAAGGATGAAGGACGAGAAAGTTGCAGGATCCCGAAACCCCGAGCGACAGCCAATTCGCAAGCAATTCTCCGCTCACCTCGGGCGGTCCGGGGAGCCGTCGACTTTGCTAGGAAGGAAAGGATAGGCGGGAGGGTCGGAAAGGAGCCATAAAGCTGCCAGAGAAAAACCTCACCCACGGACGGGAATTAATATTCCCAGACAAACGTGACAGATAGATCAAATCTGCATCTCACCGGGAGCGCTGGTTGGTGTCAATTTCGACGGATTATCGCTCCTTTTTCGTCGCCCTCTCCGCCGTCTTTTCCTCCTCTACCCTTCAGCCTTTTTCCGTATATTGTCCGTCACGGATCTCCAACGCTGTTCTCTTGCGCGACGCGCGCTCTGCTTGTTCTCTATTTTCGTGCATTTATTACAACCAAATTTTCCCGAAATCACGGATTTCTTCACAGACATGCATCTTCTCCGAACTCAGTTGCAGGAAAATGAAGAAAAATGTATTCTACATATTTCTGGAAAACATTCCGTACGAAAAAAATATTGAATCGTATTGCCAAATTTTTCGGTGTGTGTCTCATAGTCGAAAGAACAAAAAAAATAAATAAAAATATCAGAATCACTGGAAGGGAGTTACAATACCGGTCCGAGTGCCGAGGGTCCTGGCGCATCCTCTCAATGCCACCCCTCGTGCGCGTTTCTGATACGCGTTGCTTTTACCTGTTCGCACGTAACGCTCGAGACTCGATCGTCTAGCATACACCGGCGCTATACGCACACGTTCACCCATATGGGCACGCTCTCGCGTGGACGGCTCGTGCGGACCACGTGGCCGAACAATAGGACGATTCTAATTGGGCTTTTCGACGTGGTTGTCCGGTAGCAAAAAATCCGACAAAAAAGGCGACAAAAGGGGCTTAACCGGCGGACGAACGGCGGGATGAGCACGAGCGAGGAGTATTCTTACGGCCGTGGACCAGTTCGGAAAGGGTTAACTCTCTATCTCGTTGCCGGAACGTGTAGCTAGCAAAAGGGGGTTTGGGGCGAGTGCCACGGAGCGTGATGAAACTTTAAAGAGACACCGATGTGCAGCCGACGTGCTGCTCCTCGAGAGACACAATCATGTTCGACCGCGATAACCGCCCTCGTTTCTCGAGGCGATACAAATTTACTTTCACTCTTCGATTACAATTTTTTTCTTTTTTAATGAATTCTTCATTGCAAAGATAAGCTTAACGATTTAATTTAATATTAACGAGATCAATTTTTATTTGCATAAACCGAGGAATGGATTCATATGCGCATATATCAATTCATGATTCTTAAGATTATTAAATTATAGATACAATTCTATGACTACAAATTAATAATTGTATTATAAATAAGATTTTCATGAGTTTATGGATTTATTACTAATATTCCTTAACTGTTGAAATTTTTAGGATATTATTCACACACGAAAATTTTTTCTCGCATACGATTGTAAAAGTAATTTGATTGCAAAGGAAAATAAAAGAACTAGCGCTGACTATTAAATAATATAATTCCTTTTCGTAATATTTTTTGTTTCTTTTTTTTCCGTGTTAATACAATTATCGTACAAAAATATAATAATTTACAATAAAAAAGGTCCAAAATGAACAGCGCGATTTTTCAATTTCGTTTCGATGTTACATAAAAAAAAAACGCGAAGAAGATATCGTAGCACTTTCATATCCAGAGTGTCGCGTCGCCGAATGAGAACGCTCGCGCGTTAAACCCTTCGACGTACGACAATGTACTGCTCGACAAAAGGGGGTCAGAGGAACGGCGGGAGGGGAGACACGAAGGGCAGGTTCACCCCAATCCCCCGGGCGGGCGGTTTAAATTCAAAAATCGAATCCACCGATCCATTGTTCGTGCCCGTTCGGCCAGGTTCGACATCACATGGCAGTCCCCTATAACTGTACTTTAAAACACCCTCTTCCACCCCTTTTCAGCAAACCAACAATTCGCCAAACCAGAAAGATTTCGAAACGGCACGATAGCGTGTCCTCGATGCACACCTACTATACGATGAGAAACCCTGACATATTTTCTCGTTCTGATCGTTGCCAAATTCAGAATCTACGATGCAAAAGCCGAACGCGAAATTGGGAAGCGAAACTTTGAATTATTCCATAAGAGTTATGATTATTTCATGACCGGATCACGTACGTTGCACATCTCATTTCACAACACGATACAATCGACTGAGTCTGATAAAACGCTCCAACATTCATTTTTATTACTTGAAATACTAAAAAGTCGAGAAAAACAGAGGCGCAGAAATTTACCGGAATTGACTGTGTTCGTGTCGGCGTCCACGGACTCGGTCTTCTGCTTCTTCGGAAGTTCCTCCTTGTCCTCGTCCGGTGCTTCCGTCCGTCTCTTCGGCGTCGAGCTGGCGCTTGCCTTGAGGTCGATCGGACTTCCGGTATCCGGTCCCGGGCCCTGAGGCGTCGGCGGACTCTCCAGTCGGCCGCTCCTCTTGTTGATGGGCGCCGAGATGCTGGGCACCGAGTTCAACTTGGAGTCCGGATCGGCGGTTTTCAGGGTGAGGGCGTCCTCCGGGTCCGAGTCCTCCGGCGCGGCCGTCGCCGGTGGACTGTGGCAGCCCTGAAGGGTGCTCCGACAATGATTGACCTTGTGCTCGATGAACCGGACGATCTCTCCGAGGGGGTAGGACGCCCTGCAGCCCCCGCATTGGACGGTGTCTGGGGACGTGGTACTTTGCGAGGTTTCCGCTGTAACAGAGAAAGAGATATATCTCATTTAGATGCGTTGGAATTTTTATTAAGTGGATGACGAGTTAGTTTGATTATAAAGATGTACACGTAGCTTGGAGTTTACTTATACTTTCTTTTATTTAATTTTATGATATATTTGACTATTATTATATTTGACTATTATTATTTTGTGTAACATTAACGCATCAACCATTTCTGAATTATTAATTGATATAGATATCGCAGAAGTATTCAGTAATTTCAGAATTTATCGATATATTTAATGATTTTCGGAAAATAGAGCTTTAGAGATATTCGTGTTTTCTATCCGCAAAATAATTATAATATCATATTTCAACAATCAACATTGTCGTTTAGTTGGAAAATATTTCTTTGTATCAGTAATTATAAAGTTATTCAAATGATGCAGAATTTGGTGATATATACACAATGTGTTCAATTTTGTTGTACAATAAACAACATATTAATGCAATTGCATCACAAAAAAATCTTTTTCCGACTCCGATTACGAATTGTGAAAGCAGTATCGGCTTATTACGTGTTATAGATACCATTATATAACCAAGTGTAGACATATGTCTCGCGCATTATTCATAGCGGGGCATTAATCATTACGATTTACGATACCTATTAACTGACTGCAGCCATAATACCGTGATGAGATATCAAAACGAACGATTCTATGAGCGTTTCGTTTCGCCGGTAGCCGTAAAACTTATGTTTGTGTAGATATGTGTGTGTATGATAGAGCGATTAATTGAATTAAGTAAATCAAAACTAGATCATCTACATTTTGCCGAAAGCGAGTTTTTAACGAATTTTTAATAGCGTGTTTGAAAACATTTTTTATTACACGTTTTGCTATTACTTCTTTTCACTCAGATGATGAAAAATATATCAATACCCAATACCATATATGTATGCATAAGTAAAGGAATTCATTTATCTTTTCTGTAAAATTTCGGTTCTGAATTAAAACGGCCTCTTCTCCTTTTTCATGATTCAATTTTCGCTATTTCCTTTCGACGATAAATAGACCGCAGACGGTGTTCGCCTAATCTCGGCAAGCGAACTTTCCTCGTAACAAACAGGACTAATTTCCTCTTACGCAACCGTTATAATTCACCGTCGTCCGAGGGGCAGAGGGCCCGAGGTCAGCCGCAGACGTAACAATTCACTTTTGAGTGTCCTTCAGGAGAAACTACAGCAGAACTCCTCGCGACGTCTTATGTCCTTTCTCTCGTATGTTTCGCGCATTAACATAGAGATTGGCAGGCGGCCTCATACATCGATCTTTCCCTCGTCGAGTTGAGTATCCATATCTATCCGAATGGGGACGCCGAGGCTCGCGACGAAACAAGAAAAACCCTCCGCCGTCTTGGCAGTCGTTTTCTGCCTCTCCTCCCCCCCTCCCACCCCTTTCATTTCCGTCTCGCCCTTCGAGTTTTTCCCTTTGTCTCCATTCTTGTTACGTATCTTCGTCTCACTTTCGCCGTAGTGCTTCTCGAGGGATCCTCTTCGCTCTTCTCTTTCGTACGCTTCTTTTTTTGCAGCTTTACACCAACCCCTGTTTGTTTACCCTTGGCTGCTGGCTAGGCTCTCCTTCTTCGTTTCTCGCTTTTCGTCGGTGCGCCGAGACGGCGTTCGATTCTTTCTGGGCGGAGCTCGCTTGACCATTGGCCAGAGCGCAAACTCGAGTACGTTTCAACCCTTTAGGGCGCGAGCTACACCCCGATCGGTGGGTTGAACTTGAGTTATAGTCGTCTTTCTCTCAGCCAATTAATTATAGTTATTTCATATACCTGTAATTATTCTTTACCTATCTTACAATTGTTTTCTTTTGCATAATAAAAATATTTTGGTAGTTTATTAAATTTATATATTGAGACAAAGTTTTTCTAATTGTAAGATTTTTTAACTATAGCGCGTGATAATAAATCCTTAAGATTTTTAGCATCATGTTTTACGTTCATGTATTAACGAATATATGAGAATTTATTGAACATAAAGATTATCCTTCGATCTATTATATTTGTAAATTTTCTCAGCATTTTGAAAAATAGATATTTCTTAATGACATCGTAAAATCACTATAGCTCAAACGCTCGCGCGCAAATATAACTCAGCAATATTCCATAACAATTCGCCGATATCATGAATTCGATGTACCTTCTCGACACAACAATCCAAGAAGCTATGAAAATATTTTCGTGAGTCCAAAGATATCGAGAGATTTCGATAAGAAACTATTTTTTGGCCCTTTACCATTCAGAATCGGTCCGATTCGACTGTGAAGCCTTTTTTCGCTGCTATCTGCAACTTCTCGTTTTTCACCGGATGACGGTAGCAGGAAGCGAGATAAGTTCGCAAAGTCTCAGTGTGTGTCGAGACTCGTGTTCGGACGAGACAATTGCGCCTCGACGACGTCCTGCATTCTTCGTAGGAACGCGAGATTTTAATCGCGTTTGCGTCCGAGATCGTCGTTGACAATCGAACGCGAAAGGAAGAAGGGAGCGAGAAATAACGATGGTAAAAATCCGATAAAATTTTCAATAAAACCCCTGGATGGTAAGGCGAGGCGAGATGTCTGGTTTGTGGTTGTGTTGCCAGTGAAAAAAAAAAAGAAAAATCGGTCGAGCTGGATACGACGGCCGGCGAGAGCGAAAGGAAGGAACGGTGAGTCGCCTGAATGGACGAGCTCTCTCGGATCCGTTATTCGCCTACGATTCAAAAGCGCTCGGTTAGAAACAAGAGACGCGCGACCGGTCGTTAGCGACAATGGGCTTTTGTTTTTTCGGGGGCAGATGTTGGACCAAAACTGTCGGCAGCGTAGAGAACCCTCCGCAACCCCTGCGCGAGGACCGGCAGCCTCTCGCGAGCTTAAGGTGAGCGAAGGAGGAAGGACGGGGCAGACACGTGTCTCTTCGCCACTTCATAAATCACCCGCCTATTTATCCGCGTACGTCCTCTACCCCCGTTTACTGTCGTTTTTTTTTAACGCAATGTGGCCCGCAATGTATTTAGTTATATTGCATTTCTATTGGAATCTGTTATTGGAAACGTTATCACTCTTTCTTTAAAAAGTGCTCTAAAACGATAATGCATGTTGCTATAAATATTTGAAACTACGATAAATACATATATTATTAATAATATAAACATAAAATTAGTGACAAATCGTATGGAAAGCTAAAAAAAATGTTAACTTCTTCGCAAGTATTAAAATTTTTATTTACAATTTGATATAAAAAAATCAACAACCAAGAAAATTATAGTGCATTAATTTAGAAATATTCAGTAAAATATATCTTCGAAAAACATATCTATTTTCTGATAATTATTTTACAAAGCTGCAACGAAATGCTTATTAATAAAATAAAATGTTTCGTGTAAAAAATAAGAAGCAAATTTCATTATCAACATACGGAAATATTAGATTGCGTATACAACATTTACACGGGACACATTTCTGATTTTGATGACGACAATTACTTGCCGCATAAAAATGAACGCGGTGGCATCCGGACGAATCACTGTGTCACGGGTAAGGGGGTGAGAGAAAGGGGAGGATGTGAATTGCCGGGAAGGAACATAACGTAAAAATATAATATTGCCCGGCGAATCTAAGTTGGATTGCTTACAAATTGGCCTATACATCCGTAATGTTGCGATCACCAAGCCCGGTGGCCCCTATTGCGGGCGTCCTTGTAATTTCCATCTACGAGTGGGAAGGACGCGTACTGGAATCTCTGCGGGAAATGTTCCGAGGTTATTAGTTTTCCACATTAATTTTCCTTCTTATGTCCTTAGCAAGATACGCCAAGCCGGTCGGAGAATCGATTCTCCGCAATAGTTCACGTACGATGCTATATCAATTGTTTTAACATCCAACGTAGACAAATTCAATTTTTGGTTGAAAATCAATCTAATTCAAATTTTATCATTTACAATGGCGATATTTTCGAGATGGATTTAATCGCGAGATTATAAATTTTCTAGCTATGCTGTATATGTGTACAGCATTATTATTAATTCTTAAAAACGCATTTATAAAGGTGAAATTAATTATTTATTCTTTATTTAGAGTTTAAAATTGAATTTAAATTTGTTTCTAAAGATCGAAATTTCTGTGAAGGAATATATTCAGCCCCATATTCAGCGTAGGCCTGTTTACTCATAGCCTAACATCTGCATAACTGTCGCTAATTTCACAATAAGGCATTAATGATAATTCTTTGCATTGTGTTCGACCATCGGAAACTCATGTTCGCTACAAGTCGGCGCGCACTTTTCCACGACATTTTCGTTAGATCCACGCGAGTGCACATCGCCTGCACACAGAGAAACGCGGGCGAAGATATCCCGAGGCGGTATCCTTGTTAGGACATCCGTCCTGTCAAAACGTCCAGAGGACACATCGAAGCAATTGAATTACGATCATCCCCAGGGCGAGTTCCGACCGTAACCAATAATTCCATTATCCATTAGTATTGGGTCGCAGCAATTTCCTTCGCCGACCGAAGGAGGCATCGGACGCCACCGCCGACGCCGCCGCGATGGTACGTGGCAGCCGATCTCCCGGCGAAATACGGAAACCGATCGGGGAAACGGATAGATTCCCGGCACACGTCCGTATCGACGCGCGCGAGATGGACAGATCCGTGACGCGATCGCAAATACCGTCTTATCCATAATAGAACGTCGTCGCGTCATTTATCGGCGCCTGGCACGTCATACTTTCGCAGCTACCTAAAAATGATTCCTTCTATCGTAATTTACTGTAATCCGATATAACACGGTGGCACTTACATTCTTAAAATCTTTGAAATGCTTCGAATCAATTCGTAAAAAGCATAAATTGTATAACAATGCCTTTATTGGTACAGCAAATCGAAGATCTGCGCGCCAAACTCAAGCGTGAAATTGAAATCTTAAACATGCTCTTTATCATTACTCGATGAATCGTGATAGCATTCACGTGAAACTCTCCAAAATAC